TTAAAAAAGGAGTCTTCGTCCGTCCTTAATTCTTTTTGTTTCTTGAGTGATACTTATTTAGGAAATATCAACCGCGCAGATAGGCTCATTAATACCACATTCGCCGTTGAGACACTATAGAAGATTAGAAAGGTATAATATAATGGCCCGGAGGCTGTGTTCCCGCCTACCCTCTCTCAGCACCCTCGCAAAAACCCAACTCCAAAACCACGTCGTTTCTGTTTGTCCCCCAACACAGATATATTCTTCTAATCTCATTTCCCAATCTCCACACCTTCTTCCTTGCTCCAATCCAATTTTCCAAGGTAACACTTTCTTTCACTCACCTCCAAAACTTATGCACCCTATCTGTTTGTGTTAAGTCCTCAATGAACAATTACACCTTTCTCCTATTCCTCTTCGTATTTTTCTTTCTTTTCAATAGTAATAATAATAAGACAAAATTGCATATTAATACACCACCTTTCATGTTTTTGCAATTTAATCACTACCTTTGAAATTTCTCAAATCAACGAAACCGTCATTCNGAAGAAGATAGATATATATTAATAAGACAAAATTGCATATTAATACAACACTTTTCATGTTTTTGCAATTTAATCATCACATTTCCAATTTTGTAAATTAATACACTACTTTTACCATTTTTACAAATTGATATATTAATAATGGGTTCGTTAACAAAAAATCTGACATGGCATTTAGCCACGTTAATGTCATGTCAGATTTTCATGAGATTTTTTTAACGGAACCGTCATTCATATATCGATTTGCAAAAATGGTAAATGTGGTGAGATTTTTTAACGGAACCGTCATTCATGTATCGATTTGCAAAAATAATTAATGTACTGTATTAATTTACAAAATTGAAAATGTGGTGATTAAATTTAAAAAAACATGAAGAAAACAAAGTTGGAAGATCTGAAGAGGTGCAATGCGTGCGTCACGATGAAACTGGATGGTGCAATGCGTGCGTCACGATGACGCACCTTTTTTGGACAAATGGAAACAAAGTTCGAAGATCTCGAAAGGTGGCCAGCTGGGCCCCACGTTGTGTTGGTTTGACCTTGCCAACGATTTCAAACTATCCATTAATGAATAATAACTCCCATCATCTCATCATCCCCTATATAAACCANGATCCTCTGTTTTTCAGTCTTGCCCAAAAATCTGTATTGTGATGCAAAATTGCATATTAATGCACAACCTTTCATGTTTCTACAATTTAATCACCACATTTGAAATTTTGCAAATTAATACATGACCTTTACCATTTTTAAATCTGACATGGCATTAAGTCACGTAAATGCCATGTCAGATTTTCGTTAACGGAACCGTTATCATTCATGTATCAGTTTGCAAAAATGGTAAAAAGGTCGTGTATTAATTTGCAAAATTTCAAATGTGGTGATTGAATTGCAGAAACATGAAATTTGGTGTATTAATATGCAATTCTGCCGTTTATTTAATTGTCATAAATACTTTGTGTACTTACAGGTGGTCCAGCAGTCGGCTAGCAGGGGGGATCTCCTGCAGCGCAGCGCGCGGCACACGATGCACGAGCTCATACAGATAATATACTCGAGACTGCCTGATATGGAAGTCAAGGACTGGGAGAACTCCGAGTCCGACACGGAGGATACAAACCCAGACTCGGGTTATGGAATAAGCTCGGCAGTCGATATCTTTCATTTTCTGTGCTCCCTGCTGAATGTGGTGGACATGATGGACATGGACGGGTTGACTTTGCACATATCTGACGAGAACATGCAGGTTTTCGCCTTGTATTTGATAAATTCGGCAATCGAGCTCAGTGGGGACAGTATAGGAAAGCACCCGAAGCTGCTGAGAATGGTGCAGGACGATCTTTTTCATCACTTGATCCACTATGGGGCATCCTCCAGCCCACTCATTCTCTCCATGATTTGCAGTACTGTTTTGAATATTTAT